AACAAAAGTTGTGAGATACAGCCAAAGCAGTATTAAGAGGTAAATTTATTGCAATTGATAACCATGTCAAGACACAAGAAAGACCACTGGTAAACAAGCTAAGTATATGCCTGAAGGAGCTAGAAAAACAATAACAAAACAACCCTGAAAACAAGAGGAAACAGAAAATAATCAAAATAAGAAATAAACCAGATAGAGACCAAAAAAACCATACACAAAATCAATGAATCAAAAAGTTGGTTCTGGGGCCTGCAGCGTGGCCTAGCGGCTAAAGTCCTCGCCTTGAATGCGCCGGGATCCCATATGGCTGCTGGTTCTAATCTCGGCAGCTGCACTTCCCACCCAGCTCCCTGCTTGTGGCCTGGGAAAGCAGTCAAGGATGGCCCAATGCTTTGGGAAACTGTACCCTCATGGGAGACCTGTAAAGAAATTCCTGGCTCCTGGCTTCGGATTGGCGCAGCACTGGCCACTGTGGTCACTTGGGGAGTGAATCATCAGATGGAAGATATTTCTACCTCTCCTCCTCTCTGTATATCTGACTTTGTAATAAAAATAAATAAATCTTTAAAAAAAGTTGGTTCTTTGAAAAAATAAACAAGACACCCCACAGACCTGACTGAAACAAAATCAGGAGAAAACACAAATTAATAGTATCAAAGATGAAAACAACAGAAGGGAACCCACCCATGTATAGCCAACTAATCTTTGACAAGGAAACTGAAAACAAGCCAGGAAAAATCCTGGTCTCTTCATCAAATGCTATTGGGACAATTGGATAGCAGCTTGCAGAATTAAGAAGCAAGATCACACCTGTCACTTTATACAAAAATCAGCTCTAAAGGGATGAAGGACCTAAATATATACCCAGACACTATCAAACTATTAAAGGAAAATAGGAAGCATGCTCCAAGATATAAGAATGGGGAAAGACTTATTGGAAAAGACTCCAAAAGCATAGGTAGTCAAAAGCAAAATAAACAAATGGGACAAATGCATACAAGAAGGGGGATCTGTAATCTTATACTCATAGCAGCACATTCTACAGTAGCAGATATAAAAACAACCCAGGTGCCCATCTAAAGAAGAGTAGTGAAAGAGATTGTGGTACATCTACTCCATGGAATATTACTCAACCATTAAAAAGAATGAAAAAAATTAATTTTTTATTGTTTTTTGATGTAGTTTAGTTGGTGCTGGAGTCTCTCTTTCTCCTCCTCTCTGTACTGCCTCCAGTCTTACAATGGGTGTCTTTCACGAATTTTAACAAGTCCGTTATGCTGCCGCTGTGGTGTCTCCTAACAATGTAGGAGATTGTTAGTCATGCACTACCTTTTCTTCCAACAGTTTGATGGTTTCTCAGTGTAGGCTTAGATCTTTAATCCATTTAGATTTGATCTTTATGTATGGTGAAAGGTGTGGGTCTTGTTTCTTATTTCTACATGCTATTAGCCAGTTGTCCCAACAGCATCTATTGAAGAGACCTTTCTTCTTTCCTGGATTGTTTTCTGTTTTCTTGTCAAAGATTAGATAGTTGTGCATGTGTGGGTTCCCTTCTAGATTTTCTATTTTACTCCCTGTTTCTGTACCAGTACCAGACTGTTTTGATCACCACTGCAGTATAATATGTCTGGAGATCTGGGATTGTGATCCTTGCTGCTAGGTTCTTATTCTTCAGGACAGTTCTGGCTATTTGTGATTTTTTTTCTTTTTTGTGTATGTGTGTTTCCAGATGAACTTTTGCATCATTTTATACAGTTCTGTGAAGTATGTTCTTGGTATTTTGATTGGAATCATGTTGAATGTATATATTGTTTTTAGTAGTATGGATATTTTGATGATGTTGGCTCTGCCCATTCAAGAACATAGTATGTGTCTTCACTTTCTGAAGTCTTCTTCTATTTCTTGCCTTAATATTTTGTTGTTTTCCTCATAGAGATCTTCCACATCCTTTGTTAGGTTTATTCCCAGGTATTTCATTTTCTTCTCTGTTATTTTGAATGGTACCATGCTGGTTAGTTCTTCTTCAGCCTTGGTGTTGTTTGCGTACACTATGGCTGTTGATTTCTTTTCATTTGTCTTGTAACCTGCCACTTTATTGAGCCTTTGAATGAGTTGTAACAGTCTCTTTATTGAGTTTCTTGGTCTATGTATAGAATCCTGTCATCCTCAAACAGAGATAACTTCCTTATTTTCAATTTGAATTCCTTTGATTTCTTGTTCTTGTCTGATAGCGTTTGCGAGTACTTCCAGTACTATGTTGAATAGCAGTGGTGATACCAGACATCCTTGTCTGGTTCCAGATGTTAGCAGGAGGACTTATAATTTTTCTCCATTCAACATGATGCTGACATTGGGTTTTTCATATATTGCTTTAAAATTATGTTGTGGAATGTTCCTTCTATGCCTATCTTATTTAGCATTTTTAGCATGTAGTAGTGTTGGATTTTATTAAAAGGTTTTCCTGCATCTATTAAAACTATCATATGATTCTTGTTCTTCAGTTTTTTTAATGTGATATATCACATTTATAGATTTACAAATGTTGAACCATCCTGCATGCCAGGGATGGATCACACTTGGTCTGGATGAATAGTCTGTCTGATGTGTTTTTGTATTCTGTTGGCTAATATTTTGTTGAGGATCTTAGCATTGATATTCATCAAGGATATTGGTCTGTAGTTTTCTTTATCTGTTGAATCTCCATCTGGTTTTGGTATTAAGGTGATGTTGGCCTCATAAATGAGTTTGAAAGAATTGCCTCCCCTTCTATTGTTTTGAAGAGTTTATGGAGAATTGGGGTCAATTCTGCTTTGGAATGCTTTCTAAATTCAACAGTGAAATGGTCTAGGCCCAGACTTTTCTTTGTTGAAAGATCTTTAATTACTGATTTGATCTTTGCCTTCATTATAAGTTTGTTTAGGTTATCTGTTGCTTCATGGCTAAGGTTTGGTAGTTGGTGAGAGTCCAGGAACCTCTCCATTTCATGGAGATCTTTTGATTTGTTGGCATATAGTTGTATGTAGTAATTTCTAGTCATTCTCTGTATGTCTATGGTGTCCATTGTTATGTTCCCCCTTTTCATCTATGTCCCAATAGCATTTGATGAAGAGACCAGCATTTTGATGATGTTGGTCCTGCCAATCAAGGAACATGGTAACTTTCTCCATGTTTCAGTGTCTTCTTCTATTTCTATCTTTTAATGTTTAATAGTTTTTATCATAGAGGTCTTCCACATATTTGGTAGGCTTAATTCCTAGGTATTTAAGATTCCTCTGTGCTATTTTAAAGGGGACTGTACTTAAAATTTCTTTCTCATCCTTGGAATTTTGTACACTAGTGCCATTGATTTGTATTCATTAATTTTGTATCCTGCTACCCTGCCAAAGTCTTTAATGAGTTTCAATAGTCTCTTGACCCAGTCTTTTGGTTCTGCTATGTAGATAATCATGTCATATACAAATAATTTCAATTCCTTGTTTCCAATTTTAATTTGTTTAATTTCTTTTTCTTGCCTAATAGCTCTGGCAAGGACTTCTAATACTATATTGAAGAGTAGTGGTGATAGTGGACAGCCCTGTCTAGTTCCAGATGTTAGTAGAAAAGCTTCCAATATTTCCCAATGTAGTATGATGCGCACATTGGGTTTTCATATATTGCTTTGATATCTTGCTTAAGGTTTTCAACATGAAGTTTTTATTTTTTAATTTATTGAATGTGTTGTATCACATTTATTGATTTGTGAATGCTGACCCCTACATGCATGCCAGGGATGAATCCCACCTGGCCTGGGTGAATGATCTGCCTGATGTTCTGTCGGATCCTGTTGGCTAGTATTTTGTTGAGAATCTTTGCATCTATGTTCATCAAGGATATTGGTCTGTAGTTCTCTTTTTCTGCTGTGTCTGTTTCTGGCTTTGGTATTAAGGTGATATTGGCTTCATAAAATGAGTTTGGAAGGATTGCCTCCCTTTCTATTGTTTGGAAAAGCTTGTGGAGGATTGGGGTAAGTTCCTCTTGAAACGTTTGGTAGAATTCAGCAGTGAAGCCATCTGGAGCTACCTGGACCAGCACTCTCTTGGTTGGGAGGGCTTTAATTATCGATTCAATCTCAGTCCATGTTATTGGTCTATTTAGATCATTAATGTTTCATGATTCAATTTTGTTGGATTGTATGTGTCCAAAAATGTCCATCTCTTCTAGTCTTCTGATTTGTTATCATATAGCTGCTTGTAATAGTTCCTAATAATTCTCTGTATGTTGGAGGTATCTGCTTTTCATCTCTGATGCAACTGATGCATATCTTCTCCCTCCTTTTTTTGATTAGTTGGGCTAATGGGAAATCTATTTTGTTGATTTTCTCAAAGAACCAGCTCTTTGATTTATTGGTCTTGTGTATTGTTCTTTTGGTCTGTATTTGGTTTATTTCCTCCCTTGTTTTGGCTATTCCTTTTTTCTTGCTCTTCTTAGGATTGCTTTGCTATTATTTTTCTAGCCCCTTCAACTGTAAGGTTAGCTGATTTACTTGATGCTTTTCTAGTTTCTTAACATAAGCATTGATTGAGATGAAATTTCCTCTTAACACTGCCCTGATTGTGTCCTATAAGTTTTGACATGTTGTATTGATGTCTTCATTTGTTTCAAGCAGTTTTCTAATTTCCTCTCTAATTGCTCATTTTTCTCTCCATTGCTCATTTAGTAGCATATTATTCAATCTCCATGTACTTGTATGTCTTCCTGGGTGTTTTGACTTATTGCCTTCTAGTTTGACTCCATAATAGCCTGAGAAGATGCATGGTATAATTTCAAATTTTTTAAATTTGCTGAGGCTTGTTTTGTGGCCTATAACACAGTCAGTTTTGGAGAAAGTTCCATGTACTGATGGAAAAATAGGTGTATTCTCTGTCTGTAGGATGAAGGTTCTGTAGATATCAACTGAGTCCATTTGCTCTAGTGTCTGGGTGAGTTTTGTTTCTTTGCTGAGTTTCCATCTCGTTAATCAGTCCATTGATGTCAATTGGGTATTAAGGTTCCCCACTATTATTGTATTGAAATCCATTTCTCCATTTAAATCCATTAATATTTGTTTCACACAGCCAGATACCTTGGCATTTGATGCATGTAGATTTATTATGGCAATTTCTTCTTGCTGAATGGATCCTTTGATCATTATGTGGTGTCCTTCTTCGTCTGTTTTAATATAGTTCACTTCAAAGTTTATATCATCTAATATAATAATGGCTACATCTGCTCATTTGCTTACCATTAGCTTGGAATATCTTTTTCCATCCTTTCACTTTCAGTTTCCACTGATCTTTGTTGGTGAGTGTGTCTCTTGTAAGCAGCAGATAGATGGGTTTTGTTTTTTGATACAGTCCTCTAATCTATGGAGTTTGATTGATTAGTTTAATACATTTAGATTCAATGTTAATATGGATAGGTGGCAGTTTGGTTTTATCATCTTAGTAATGGACTGTTGAGTATTCTGTTAATCTTTAAGTGGGATGATCTCCACATTTGCCTTTGGTTTTGGAAGCTGTTATTCCTTTTCTCTTTTAAGAGAACATTTTAGAATATCATGTAGGGCAGATTTAGAAGAGGCAAATTTTTGGAGGTTTTCTTTACTGTCGGAGAATTTTTTTTTTTTTCATTTTCAGAGACAAAAGAGAGCTTTGTTGGATATGTTAATCTGGGCTTAAATTTTCTCTTTTAGAATCTGGAATATGTCACTCCATTCTCTTCTGGCCTGTAGAGTTTCCTGTGAGAGGTCTCCTGTGAGTTTAATTGGCATTCCCCCATAGGTCACTGGATTTTTTTCACATGTACATTTAAGGATCTTTTCCTTATGTTCGACTGAAGAGAGCTTGGTTATCATGTGTCATCATGAAGTTTGCTTTGATCAACTCTATGGGGAGTTTTGTGCCCCTCCTGGATATTATTTTCCAATTCTTTCTTTAGATTAGGGAAATTTTCTCTTATTATTTCATTGAATACACCTTTAATCCCAGCTTCTCTTTCTGCACCTCTGGGACACCCATAACTCTTATATTTGGCCTCTTACTAGTGTCTCTTAATTTTTGAACACTTTTTGAGCTTGACCCAGCTCTGCTTCCAGCTTTTTTATTGTTTCCCCTGGTGACAGGAAATATCTCCCAATTCTGAGATGTTTTTCTTCTGCTCCCTTCATCCTATTATTGAGACTTTCCACTGTATTTTTAATTTGCTACACTGTGTTCTTAATTTCTAATATATCCACTTTCATTTGCTTCATTGCTGCTATTTCCTATGTGACATGTTCCTTAAATTCCTTGAACTTCTGTATGTGTTTCTCGTTGTTGTTTGGAAACTTTATAACATTATTTTGAATTCTGTATCCTCCATTTTCTTGATGTCTTCCTCAGTTAACTCTGAGAATGGTAGAGGTTTTTGTTCCTTTGCTAGAGCATCTTCAGTAATATTCATTGTGCCTCTTTTACCTTTGGTCATCTCAATTCTGGTTAACAGATTCTTCTCCTTAGGGCAGGCTTCTAAGGTGTGTTGCCCATAGGTCTACAAATTAATTTTATGTTAAAGCAGTGTCCTGGATTAGGAAAACACTAGCTGTCCTAAATAATTGGGTTGTCAGTGGGTGCTGATCTTGCCGACAGCTGTTGGCCATTAAGTCTGAGGGCCATTTGAGCTATTTTGGGTGTAGTCTATGGAGTGCCACGACAGAACTGTTTTTAACTGAGGGACATGTGCAATGCACTAAGCTGGAAGTGAATTTTTCTCCCAGCTTAGCACTTGCATAGCTCAGCTTTTGTACCTCCAAACCCCAGTGTCTGGTCCCATGAAATGGCACCTAATCCCTACTGATCTAGTGCATACAGAGTTTAGCGCTGCTCCTCCCACCCCTTAGCCAATGCTCCTCTGTGCAAAATGGTACCTGGCAGGGCACTGAAGAAGATCTGTGGCTGCTGGCTATTAGATCTGTGGACCACACAGATCCTGTACGATGTGAAGCTGGCTCTGCTTTCCCTGTGGGATCAGCTCAGTGTGATTAGTTAGAAATGTGCCTGCTCCATGCCAACCCTTCAAAACTGCACTGTCTGCCCCACTGCACAAGATGGCACTCCATCTGGCACTACTGAGAGTCCAAGCTGTGAAAGCCACCATACTCCTGAACTGCCCCTGGTAGTCTGCTGGTCCTTCTCTGCTTCTTGTTGGATCAAATAAATGAACAGGATGGGCAGTTCTTAGCCTCTATTTGCCTCCTGAGCTCCTGGGGAACTTCTGCTCTCACTTGGGTGCACAGGATCAGTGGCCACTACTGGATCTCTGGCTGCCACTGGAGCCTGGCTCACCAGAATCCACATCACCAGATCACTGCTTGCTGGCTGTTGGTGGGTTATCTGGTCACTGCAATACTGCTCTACCATCACCACTGCTTCCCTGTGCCCAGAGGGCCTACAGGTACCCCCTGCCAGTTGCCTGCCCTCATACACATACATGTCCACATAGGCATACACACACTGCACACACATGCACACACAGAGGTACACATGCATACACTCACATACATACGCATACACACAGGCACAAACACAAACCTTGCACACACAGGCACACACAGAGGTACATGCATGCCCTCACACACATACACGCACACAGGTACACAGACCCTGCACACAGAGGCATACACACATGCACTCACATACGCACATGTACATACAGGAATATGCACACCCTGCATACAGATGGACACACATATGCCCTCACACAGAAACATGTACACATGGGTGCATACACATGCACACAAAGAGGTACACACGTATACACTCACATACATACATGTACAAACAGGTACACACACATCCTGCACACACACATACACATGCCTACCATCATACACATATAGGTACACATAGGTACACACACATGCAAACATGCACACATGTACACACAGATGCCCATACACATATGCATACACACAGGCACTCACACACCTCCACACAATGCGAATGTACACACAACACAGAGGAGCACACATACCCTGTACACACATGTACATATATTCACATGGATGTACATATACACACATGGCCTCATACACGTGCGCATACACACAGACACGAATCTGTGTATGCATGCATGGACACAGGCACACACATACCCTGCACACACAGGGGTATATATGCATACCCTCACACACCCTGAACACATACACACACATTCACACAGATGTACATGTATATGTACACTCACACATTATTGTACAGGTGCATGAGGAGAATGGGGGAGGGAACAGCAGTAGCAACACACTTTGAAAGCCAGAATGTTGATACCTGAGATGTAGGTGGCTTTTTACTGGGAGTGGCTGAACTAGTGTTGTCACCCCGAGCTGTGTGACAGTGAAGGAATAAAGGCTCCAGATTTTGTGGACTCAAAGGAGAGCAGTCATTGGAGTGAACATGTTTCCATGACAGAAGGTGGAATGGCTGATTCCCTGGGGTCTTCAGAGCCTTGCCCCTTCCCATGGGATGGAACTGACACAGGCTGAGCAAGGCAAGGGGAATCTGCTGCACAAAGCCTTGTTCTCTAGAGACAAAGTCAGCCCCATGGAAACAGCTGTCAGTCAACAACTTCTTCTCTCAACACCCATGCAACTGTGAATAGAAGAGTCAGTCCGGCAGCCAGACCTGAGATCCTACAGAGGGGCCAAAAAAAACCTCCTACAGGGTTGGAGCTAAGGACCTGCTGTCCCCCAGGAACCCCCAAGGCACCCACTTTGTGCTTGCCCTTGTGGTTAAGGTCTTCTGAAAAAACAGAAACATCTAGTTGATGACACAGGAGCAATGAGATTAGGTTCATGTAAGAGTGACCCCGCTTTATGATCATTATAGTTACCATGTAATCAGCAGTGTGTTTTTGTCCCCTCCTGCAGGGTATTCCCAGTGCATTCTGGGAAGATAGTGCCTCACCCAGATGTCAATCAGCAATACCAAGCATGAGCATCCCAGCCACACTGCCAGCCAGCACCCCTCACACCTTAGCCAGGGGAAAATGCTGCCACATACTTGCTCTGCTGGCCTGTACCTGATCCAATGTCATTTAATCAACTATACTTTGCCATCCATACTTTGATATCACTAAACTGTCATTCATTACTCTATTGACCAAAAAGAATGGGGCCAGCTGACAACTGTCAGGGATAGAAACAAAATAGTCAACTAGCGCAGAGGGAGTCTGCTTCCTAAAGGAGGCAAAACAAGAAAAGAGGCACAGGCTGGGACTCTCATAGCCAAGCTCTAACCAAAAATGGAAGGAACTGAAGGAAAAACTTCAACAGAAACCCTCAGAGACAACACAATATGAATGTCTATTATGGAGTCTGTGTGTAAATCGCAATTTCTATTTGTCCATCACTGTCCCTCTGTCCATCGCAGTCTCTGTGTGTCCATCTCTGTATGTCTGTGTCCATCACTGTCTCTGTGTCCATTATTGTGTGTCCATCACTATCTCTTTGTGTCCATCACTGTCTCTGTGTGTCCATCACTGTCTCTTTGTGTCCATCACTGTCTCTCTGTGTCCATCACTGTCTCTGTGTGTCCATCACTGTCTCTTTGTGTCTATCACTGCCTCTGTGTCCATCACTGTCTCTCTGTGTCCATCACTGTCTCTCTGTGTCCATCACTGCCTCTGTGTCCATCACTGTCTCTCTGTGTCCATCACTGTCTCTCTGTGTCCATCACTGCCTCTGTGTCCATCACTGTCTCTCTGTGTCCATCACTGTCTCTGTGTCCATCTCTGTATGTCTGTGTCCATCACTGTCTGTGTCCATCACTGTCTCTCTGTGTCCATCACTGCCTCTGTGTCCATCACTGTCTCTGTGTCCATCACTGTCTCTCTGTGTCCATCACTGCCTCTGTGTCCATCACTGCCTCTGTGTCCATCACTGTCTCTGTGTGTCCATCACTGTCTCTGTGTCCATCTCTGTATGTCTGTGTCCATCACTGTCTCTCTGTGTCCATCACTGTCTCTGTGTGTCCATCACTGTACTTCTGTGTCCATCTCTGTCTCTGTGTCCATTACTGTCTCTCT